TCCATTATCAAAGAGTGTGTAGAAACAGATATTTTAATACATTTCTAATGGGAATATGAATGGACATTTATTCTCTAAAGGGCGATTTGTATGTACTAAGATTTTAAACACACACACTCTCCAGCTTAACCCTGCCATTTCTCAGTACCAAACACATTCTCTTAAAGACAACCAAGATGAAATGCTTATAGCATTGTTGTGTGTAATGTCAGAACAAAGACCCTAGCAACCTGTCAACAGGGGAGTGATAAGGTAAGTATGGTGCATCCATACAGTGGAATATTATACAGTCAGTAAAACGAAAAGGGGGATATGACATACACTTACATATAGGGATCTCATAGATGTCATTTAAAAAAAAGATTTATTTTATTTATTTTAGTGAGAGAGAACACGTGCAAGCGTGAGTGGGCAGAGGGAGAGGGAGAGAAGCAGACTGCCTGCTGAGCCGGGAGCCCAATGTGGGGCTCGATCCCGGGAGCCCAGGATCATGACCTGAGCCAAAATCAAGAGTCGGAGGCTTAAGCGACTGAGCCACTCAGGTGCCCCTCATATATGTCGTTTTAACTCAAAAGTGAAAGTTACAGTTAATATGCCATTTTCCTGGTGACCGCTGAGCAGAGTTTCCCTAAATTTGCTCTTTGGTCCTTGGGATACGTGTAATGGAAGTGAAATGTGATTGAGTTTGGTTAATGGAAGGCAAATTCTGAAACAGAGACACAATGAAGCAGGGACACAAATGGGTGATGTCTGCCCACCCCGTCCTGTTGGAAGCCGCCTCCTGTGCCTTATTTCCCATGGCTCAGGAGGTTTGGGGGTGCTGGTGACGAGGGACTATGTGAATGATTCCTTGTTTGAGAAAACAGGCAGACCAAAGGGGACACTCACTGTCTGGGGCCCCATTTCCTGTTCTGTCCATTGAAGAAACTCCACTCCTACAAGAGCACAGTGGGCCCCTGATCCTACAGCTGCAGGAGACCGAGTACCCTGCTCCACGGAGGTTAGGGTCCTCTCTCCTGGCAGAGCCGCAGTGGTCCTGTCCTCCAACCCTACCTCCTTCGGGGCTGCTGTCTTACTGATGAGGCATGGAGTATTCTCTACCCTCACTTTATGTTTCCTGCAAGGGTTCTTGTACGTGCAGGCCTGTCTCCTGTTGTCTCCCAGCTTACAATGTTCTATAAAACCACACGAGGACACAGGGTCTGTTTATCCAGATTGATTTTGGTTGGTGGGTTACTTTTGAAAAGCAAATGTTGTTGGAGGTCTTCCCTGTCCTTCAAGATCTGAGTAAAATCGGGAATTTCATAGGTTTATTAGCTCTAAGATAGATGGTGGAAGGAAGGCCTATGTAGTTGCCCCTTATCACAAAGGGTGACTCTGTCTGGGGTTCTTGCTCCTACCATCCTTGGGACGGTTCCTGTAGTCCTCCAGGTTTTCCTACATTCTAGTCACAGAAAATGTGTCCATTGCAATCCTCCCTAGGACCTCATTAGAAATACGAAGGCAGAGGGACGCCTGGGTGTCTCAGTCGTTAAGCATCTGCCTTTGGCTCAGGTCATGATCCCAGGGTCCTGGGATCGAGTCCCGCATCGGGCTCCCTGCTCAGCGGGGAGCCTGCTTCTCCCTCTGCCTCTCTCTCTCTCTCTGTCTCTCATGAATAAATAAATATAATCTTTAAAAAAAAAAAAAAGAAATACGAAGGCAGAGTGTCAGAGCCGCCGCCGTCAAGTCTGGATCCCACCTCGTGCGGCGCTGACGCCCGCCTGCCCGCCCGATGTGCACTCCCAATTCCTTTTGGTTCTAAGTCCAAAATGGCAACTCTCAAATCTCAGAATCTTCTTAAGGAAGAACATACCCCCCAGAATAAGATGACAGTTGTTGGGGCTGGAGCTGTTGGCATGGCATGGCAAGGACTTGGTGGATGAACTTGCTCTCGTTGATGTCATGGAAGACAAACTGAAGGGAGAGATGATGGACCTCCAGCACGGCAGCCTTTTCCTTAGAACACCAAAAATTGTCCAGCGTGCCTGTATGGAGTGGAGTGAACGTTGCTGGTGTCTCTCTGAAGGATCTGCACCCTGACTTAGGCACTGATGCAGATAAGGAACAGTGGGAAGAGGTTCACAAACAGGTGGTTGGCAGTGCCTATGAGGTGATCAAACTGAAAGGCTACACTTCCTGGGCCATTGGACTGTCTGTGCAGATTTGGCAGAAAGTATAATGAAGAATCTTAGGCAGGTGCATCCAATTTCCACCATGATTAAGGGTCTCTATGGAACTAAAGATGATGTCTTCCTTAGTGTTCCTTGCATCTTGGGACAGAATGGGATTTCTGATGTTGTGAAGGTGACCCTGACTCCTGAGGAGGAGGCCCGTTTGAAGAAGAGGGCAGATACACTTTGGGGGATCCAAAAGGAGCTGCAGTTTTAAAGTTTTATAATGTTCCACTTCACTGTCTAGACTACAACAGGATTTTAGTTGGAGGTTGTGTATATTGTCCTTATTATCTGATCTGTTACTCGAGTAATATTAAAATGGCCTAAGAAAAAACATCCGTTTCCTAAAGTTCCAAATAGGAATGGTTCACCAAACCCTGCAGCTGTATCCCGATGCTGGATGATACCTGGCTTTGTAGCCCTGAGCTGGTCAGTGTAAATTAGCCCCACCATCTCAGAGACATCACTACCATAGCTGTAGTTGCTCTTCATACCAGATGTGTGTTTACTGTGTGTTCTGTCACTTCTGGTTCCTTCCCCCAACACCTGACACGCCTAGTCCATCTTTTCCAGTCAGTCACATCCTGGGATCCAACGTATAGATTCAGTATTGCATGTATTGTGCATAACTGTTCTAAAGGATCTTATTATATGGCCATATAATGTAAAAAGACAATGCAACCAACTATCCTAAGTGTCATACCAACTAAAATACCAAATAAATTTTGAACAGTGGAAAAAAAAAAAGAAATACGAAGGCAAAGCTTGGCACTGAGACTTGGAAGTGGTAGGATATGTAAATATGGCATCTAATTTCTCTGGACAGAAAACAGTTCCCTTGGCAGATTAGCCAAGCCAGGACTACTCATGAGACAGAGTGGACTCCCAGTGAACACCGCAGGACAGGAAAGGGCCTGAGACCCCTCCCTGAGTGCCCTCTGCCCCAGTGACTCTCTGTCTTCATTCTTACACTCACTCACACTTACTGAGCAGGTATTATGTATAAGACGTGCCAAGCTCTTCAGTGTGGCAATGAAGGGTCCAGTGGGCTCCCTCGGTTCATGGCGGGCAGCTCGTCGTCTGGGCGTTAGACGTGTGACAGTCCTGCTGTTACCTCCCTGTGGTCCTGATAAGGACAGGGAGGGCAACAGTGGGGTCTGCCCTGGTCTTGGGGTGCCGTTCCAGATACAAGCACTCTAACCTCCCTCTGAAGATGAGTAGATCAGATGAAGGGGTAGTGGCAGCGCAGGAGGAACCCAAAGCAGAAGTTCAGCTTGTGCCAAGGGTGACTGGGGGAGGTCACGTGGCACTTGAGAAATGGAAGGCCACTGTCCCCAGGACTCAGAACACCAGGGGAGAGGGAATGTCGGAGAACAATGGACTCAGGAGGCCAAGCTACATACGGATCTGGGGCTTTCTGCTAGGACAAGCTGTCGCCCCTGCCTCCCCTCTTGCTTTCATACCCCAAATCCAACGTTAGCTCCTACCTCACCTTGTGCAGAATGTGATGCCTTATCACCTCCATGGCCCGGCCACTCTTGTCTCTCACCTGGATTGCTGCAAGACCCTCCAAACGAGTTTCCTGCTTCTGCCTTATCCCTTCCTCTACCCTCAACACAGAACCCTTCCTTTCCTGGACTACCCACCGTCCGTTCTACCAAATGCTCCCCGTCTCATCTTCTGGACGGAGGCTGCTTCATGCCATTCACATCCCCTCTCAGAGCCCCACGGTGTCCCGCAGAGGCTCCCCTTGTTCTGTGCCTCCCTGAACCATTAGCATCACTCAGCGTGGTCCCTCTGCTGCCCCACGAGCTGCCCCTGCACCATAGGTTGCAAGTTTTCCACTCTGATTTCTTGTCTCCGTGTCTCTCCTAGAATCCATGTCAGTCCCATTAAGTCCCCGCTGGACATCGTGGATGCCTCAGGCCTTCCAGCGCAACGTGTCCAGAGCCAGTCTGGTCCCTCCTGCTCATCCTCGTCCCGTGTGTGCTGCATAAGTTAACACAGTTCTTTTCTGCCCCATGTCCTTCCTTCCTCTCTGTCACCAAAGCTGTGACCTCCACGTCCTTGCGGGACCCCCTCCAATCCTTTCCCCTTCCTCACCATGATCTCCACCTTGGTCGCTGAATGGCTGTCCCTGGACTTGCCCTGTTGCCGTCAGCTCTTACCTGTGTTCCTGCCTGTGATCTCACCCATTTCCAATCTATCCCCAGTTCTTTCGTTAGGAGGAACATTCTAAATTTGAAAATATGATGATGTCACTCCCCTGGAGCACCTGATAACCTCCTCTTGCTTAGCAGCCTGAGGTCTTGAGCATAATATTTGTTTTCTTTGACAACTTCACACCATTTTCCTACACCCTCCTCATTTGACACTTGGAGTTCCTCCCTTTTTTTTGCAGTGACACTGAACTCACCATTTTTTCAGCACACCCATTCTTTCACGTCTCCTCCATGCCTTTCTGCAAACCGTACCCTTTGCCTACAAATCTCTGCCTCTCTCTTTCAGTGAACACACTCCTACTCATCCTCCAAAACCCTGCTCACATTTCCCCAGGAATCCTTTCTTACATCTCTTGTATTTATCTGTTCCACTGATTGCCTTGGATATATGCACGTTATAAAATATGTGGCATTTTATTATTTTTATTTCTTTGGGTGTTTGTCACCCCCATATATTCATGTTCCCAATTTGTTACATTTCTCAGTGCCTGGGGAAAAAATAGGTACTCAAAAAATATTTTTCAAACAACAGAAGGAATTACTTGAATGCTTTCCTGTGAAAGTTTATTACATTAAAAGCTGTGTGATTTTTTAAGATTCTGTCCATCTCAGGCTAAGTCACTTTCTCTATGGTCAGGTAGAGCTGGTTTTCTTTTCTTTTGCTACTACAGAATGTCCAGACTGTCCAGATCAAATGATAGCACCCCAGCAACTCCATCCTCAGCCTCTTCTCCAAAAACACCTGTGTCTGGGTCGGTGCTATGACCCCTGGAGAGCAGGCAGGTGGACCAAGCTTTGGCTTCTATGTCAACAACCTCAGTTCTGATGCAAACAGCAGACATATTTTTTTTTAAAGCAGTAGCCTACTTGTGTTTCCATATAATTACAATATTCTTGACAATAGCCTTCACTTTTCTTGCAGTCGACAACTTTGAAATCCGGTTCGGGTTCTGTGTAAAGAAATATCCAACATTAGTGTCTTAAGACCATCTCAAGAATTGGACGGGGCTTATTTTAGCCCAAAGGGTTAGGGTGGAGGATGGCAATAGGGAGGTTGTAAATGAGCATTCATATTTCCCTGGGGCCATCCTGATCGCATAAAAATCAGATCCTTGATTCTGGCTTAAAAGTCACCTTTACTCTCCCTGAAAAAACCAGCTGTCAATTCAGAGGCAGTTGGGAAAAGAAACAGTAATAGATGTGTTACAATATAACTGTTCCACTTAAGCCAATTTAGGATGCTGTATAAGGGGACCCATCAGGGCTCTGTGAGGCCCACTGGGGATGACAGAGCCCTACCAAACACGTACATAAGTGGGATGGTCCTCCGAGGAAGGAGGGTTGAGGCTGAGCCATCTCTGTAAGGGAGATGACAGGTAGCTGATGGCAGATTTTAAAGAGTGAAAAAGATTTCTTTTTTCCCCTCATTGTGAGGGAGCACCTGGAAGGCTATTTGGCGCCTCAAAGTTATGCCAGTTTGCGTGAGCAATGTGAAATTGGTACCTCACTCTGCAATTCAAGTACTGAGATTATTAAACATGAATTCTTGTCTTAAATTATATATTATGAAGATAGTTGATAGAAAAGGCAAGGAGCAAGTGTTAAAACAAAGAAAAAAATAGATGAACACAATGAAAGCAGAGACACAATATCAGACAATGAGTGGTAAGTGCCTGTCTGGGGAAGCCTTCTGATAGACCCCAAACCAAGGCTGCTCTGGTCATCATAAGCTCTGCCACCGACCTGAGATGTGACCTTCAGACAGATTAAATTACGTTCAATTAGCCAGCACATAATACATCATGAGTTTTTGAGGTGGTGTTCAACAATTCATCAGTTGCCTATGACACCCAGTGCTCATCACCAAACGTGCCCTCATTAATGCCCATCACCCAGCTACCCCAGCCCCCCATCCCCTCAGTTTGTTGTCCTGAATCAGAGGAGTTATTTTAAATCACCTCAACTCCCTCATGAATCACAAATGGGAATAATAACCCCGTCTCATAGATTTGCTATTAGAATAAATGACACATGCCTCGTATTGTTTATATTTGTTGTACAATTATGGTATTTTCTTTTTTTCTTCCCTTGGGAGGAGAACCCAGACTAGTGAGTCTCTGGGAACCGAAGGCCACTTCCAAAGGGACCAAAGTGAAGAGAGGACAACAGGAGGAATAATATGGCAGGAGCTGAATTACTGGCTTCCCTTTGCCAACGCCCTTGTGTGTATTCCCTGCTCTTTCCCACTGAGCGCCCAGCTCTTGTTTCTTGTTTCAGGGTCAGGAATGAGTTTGGAATTAAGGAAATATCTTGGAATGACTGTCTCCTCTAGGTCCTTACAGATTGGAAGCTGGCTCCACATGGTGTTCAGGACTGACCAGAAAAGCAGCTGAGGGCCCATCCTCTGCACCTGTCCCTGGGGCATTCCCTGCATGCTAATTGCTCACCTGGCATAGCAAGTATTCATCAAATTCTTGAAGGCCCAGGGAGTGGGGCTCCAACCTGGCAGGAGGAGGCTGTCTTGCTCAATATCATCTCCCCTGGCGGGCGCCTGGTTGACTCAATTAGTTGAGCAACTGCCTTTGGCTCAGGTCATGATCCTGGAGTCCCTGGATCGAGTCCCGCATCGGGCTCCCTGCTCGGCGAGGAGTCTGCTTCTCCCTCTCCCGCTCCCCCCTCTCATGTGCTCTCTCTCATTCTCTCTCTCTCAAATAAATAAATAAATAAAATCTTAAAAAAAAAATCTCCCCTGGCTCTCCGGGGTGGCTGAAGTCAGGGGTTATAGAAGTGCCTTGAATACTTTTGCCTCTTTGTCCCTCACACTCCCAAGGCTCACAGGACCCTCAGTCATCTGTCAGACCCCAGGTGGGGCAGCCCAAGCCTTCTACCTATGTCTTCATAAACACAGCCCATCCTTAACTCAACCACTGCTTGGCCTTCCCCCACCTGCACGGACACCTTCCCATCTATTCATTGACTAAACATTTCCAGAGTGGAGGGACTTGTCACAACTTCTTTTTTTTTTTTTTACTTACCCGGGTAAGGGGGAGTCCGTGGTAAGAGGTAGCGTTTTTCTTGGTGGTGTAGCAAGGGAGACCCGTTTTTGCCTTGTGCAGAAGACTCTTCCCTGGATTGTCTCGGTCCTCTCAGACCCTCAGTGCCTTGGTGGTTGACATTTCCGGCTCTGGATAGTCCTGATTCACAATAAATACACAGCAAAGCATTTTCAGAGTTCTCTCTTGAGCAGACCCATGAGGATTCCGTGCATCACTCTAGGGGGCGAGTGAAAGTAGAGGGTGGAGAGGAGACGGGTTTGCTGCTCAGTGGGTATAAAGTTTCAGTCCTGCAACATGGCTGCATTCCAGAGATGTGCTGTGAAACACGGTGCCTGCACGTAACAGTGCAGTATTGTGAACTTCAAGGTTTGTGAAGAGGGGAGACCTTTTGCTAAGTGTCCTTATCACACACACACAAAATACCACCACAAAGGGACACAAGGAAACTTTAGGCGGTATTGCCTGTGGTTACGTCCGTGGCTGTAGTAATGGTATCAGGGTTGTTTGCAAACATCCAAACTCACCAAATTGTCATCTTTTGTGTAATAATTATACCCCCAGAAAGCTGTAAGGAAAAAGAGCAAGTGAAGAACGGGATGGAATGGGTTGGAAGGGGGGCAAATGTTATTTGTGTTTGTGTGTGCGTGAGAGAGAGAGGAGGGGGAGGGAGGGAGAGGGAGACGGAGGGAGGTGAGTGATGACCAAGACAGGTGGGCAGTGGAGCCCGAGTACTTCAGTGGAAGCCAAGCTGAGCATCCCCGAGGGTGTCAATATAGTTGTTGAGACTCCCTAACATTCAAGGTCCTTTGTGATGCAGCCTGTCCTCCTTTATAAGGAGGAGGTGAATATTAACAGGATGAGGAAGTGTAGTCTGGGTTGGGACCTGTCTCCTGGGGAACCAGTGCCATCAGCATATTCAAAGTGTCCCTTACACCCCCAGTCCAGAGACTCCTGCCCCAACACCCCACCAGGAAATGCACTTGCAGGGCTTAGTACCTCACTGTCCAGCCTGGAAGCCCAGCCTGGACACTGCCATTGTGGAGAGACCCTGGCCCCAGTACCGGGTCACATTTCTGACTTACCTGGCAACATCAGGGTCACGAGGAGAAGGCTGACGAACAGAGAGAGGGATGGCTTCATGTCGCAGAGGGGACTGCCAACTGAGACGGTGCTGGTGGGCAGACAGCAGGGCTCCCTTTATAGCCCTGAGCTGCGGGGAGGGGGCCTGCAGCAGGGGAAGAGAGGCATTCCAGAATAATCTCTGGGTCACAGACGACACACACGGACACATTATTCTCCCACCACTAGCTAGCGGAACAAACATTTGAGCCATTTTCCTCCGGAAGTAAATATCATGCCTGAATGCCCTGGGTGGGTTTGATGAATAAGAAATGACAGGGCGAGAGAAGAGGAGCAGAAAGAGGGAAGAGAAGGGACAAAACAGGCATCATTAACCAAAAAAGCACCATTCCTTCAAGTGCTTGTTGGACCGCTGCTAGGCGCTGACGTGGTGACCTAAGCAGGGCCACCATAGGGCTTCTGTCCTGTCTTCTGGATGTATTTATTTTGGTGTAAAATATCATGCAGGAAGACATTGAACATGTCGGGGACGACCTGACTCACACAACTGTCATTTCCTGAAGTTCCAGAGTCACTCCAGATCTCATTTCTGCTCTTTCTCCACCCTAATCTCTCCCCCTGTTTTGTGACCTCCTCTGCTTCTCTTTCATCTCTTTTTAATCCTCCCCCTTTGATTTTAATTAATCTGACTCGTCTTCATGTTTCTCTCAGATGCCTGGCTATTGCTGCCATCGGGTCCAATTCAATTATGCTTAAAAAAATATCTGTAATTGATGCAGAGTTTTCTCTTCTGGTAATAACTAAGCAAAAGTTCTTCTCCTCCTCCTCCTTCTCCTTCCTCCTCCTCCTTGTCTTTTTCTTCTTCTTTTTTTTAAAAATTATATTTATTTATTTGACACAGAGACGGCGAGAGCAGAGAGAGAGAGAGCATAAGTAGGCAGAGTGGCAGGCAGAGAGAGAGGGAGAAGCAGGCTCCCCGCTTAGCAGGGAGCCCGATGCGGGGCTTGATCCCAGGACCCCGGGATCATGACCTGAGCCGAAGGCAGACGCTTCACCGACTGAGCCACCCAGATACCCTCCATCTTCTTCTTCTTGCAGGGATGAGTTTTATGTCACTGCATTATCTCAGACACGCATACCCAGGCAGTCTGTCCTGGATGCGACCAAAGAAATGTGGGCTTTGGTTCAAGAGTGTTATGACCATCTAAAATTCAATATGGCCTCAGAGGTGTTGGAAAGGGTAGTGCTTGTCACATGTGTCTCATTTGCAGGCACAGTTTGGTCCAAAGAAAATGTCTAAGATCATTTGTGTAAATGAAAATAATTATATTCTACCTGGAGGGAGGTGGAAACAGATGAAGAAGGCAGCAGTGGCCCCAGCAGGGGCTTGGGCATCCAGGAAGCAGCAGTGAAGTAGAGAAGGTTCGGAGCCACCAACAGGTGTGCTCAGGGCCCCAGGGTCATCACGCTGTAGCCTCTCTGCCAGGTCTGGGAGCAAATTCAATATTGTGGAGCATGGAGGTGCCAGCATAAGATCATTCTTGATTTCTAGGCATTAAGAAATCTTCAGTTCAAAGAGGGAATTGGAGATACTGGTAGAGATTGGAGGCAATGGGTTCCTGATAAGGGTTGCTAATCACCAAGGCCACCAGATGCTGACAATTGGGTGTTGGAAGAAAATAGATGGTCAAGCGGGGGGGGGGGGGGGGAGTTGCTGAGACCCTAACTCCAAATAAAGATGTTCTTATCCCCTCCCCTGTAAGCCATGTTACTTTTATATTCTAGCCCAAAAGCTGTGCTTACAGTTGTGTTTATATTTATTTCTAGGAATCTGGATCAAGGTAGAAACCATCCTGAGGGTCTGGGATTCTAGCACACCATGCCCTGCTGCCTCAGATTTGAACCCGAGGTGTGGGGGTGATGCCTGGTCCTGCCTAATAGCCTGACCTACTGGGAAAGGCACTCGCCTCTGCACCTTCATTTCCACACCTAAAAAAGGTCAGGGTGACACCTCTTGTCTCACAAGCTTATTGTGAGGATCAAAAGAGATTATGCATGTGAGAGTACCTTGTAAAATACACAATGTGAGAATCGTGAAGGGGGACACCAACGTAGGACAAGACACAACTTAAAATCGACTTTAGGTTGTTCTTTTTTTTTTTTAAGATTATTTATTTATTTATTTGAGAGAGAGAGAATGAGAGAGAGCACATGAGAGGGGGGAGGGTCAGAGGGAGAAATAGACTCCCTGCCAAGCAGGGAGCCCGATGCGGGACTCGATCCAGGGACTCCAGGATCATGACCTGAGCCGAACGCAGTCGCTTAACCAACTGAGCCACCCAGGCACCTGACTTTAGGTTGTTCTAAAGCACATTCTGTATCCTGGCATCTGGGCTGTTGCCTCCTCGGGGGGCTGCTTCACAGGCTCCCCTCTCCCCTGTAACCGCTGTAGTGAAATCAAAGGCTCACGTTGGCATTGGATTTTGACACAATATTTTGCAGGTGGAACAGCAAGTATGTGATACCCACAAAAGAGGCCTCAGAGGCAGACGGTCAAACACAATGTATAGATGGACGTCTTAGGACCCTGAGTCTACGAAACCAGTTCTGACAAAAGCACTTATGAAACAACCAGGATCATTTGAACACTGATCGACTATTTGATTATCGTAAGGGATTTGTTCTGATTTTTTTCTAGGTATGGTCATAGCACTGTGGTTTTCTACATATATTTAAAGAGTCATTTTCTTGGGCACCTGGGTGGCTCAGTTGGTTAAGCGACTGCCTTTGGCTCAGGTCATGATCCTGGAGTCCCGGAATCGAGTCCCACCTCGGGCTCCTTGCTCGGCGGGGAGTCTGCTTCTTCCTCTGCTCTTCCCCCCTCTCATGCTCTCTCTCTAATAAATAAGTAAATCAATCTTAAAAAAAAGAGTCATTTTCTCTGAATTATATATTCCACGTATTTTCAGATGAGGTGATAATGGCATGTGGAGTACTTTTGGAAATAATCCAGGAGAGGGAGTTCATTAAGGAATGAAATGAGATTAACCACATGCTAAGGCTGGGTGATAGTTACAAGAAGGTTCAGTTTACCGTTTTGGTAAAAAGGCAGTAGCTTAAAAGCTCCTGGGTGGCTTTGTATCCATCTACCTGGAGGCACGTGAGCTCAGGTGGTTGTTCTTGTTTATTTGAGTGGGGCTATTGATGTTCATGGGCTAGATCATTATGTCCTGAGGTGTTGGAAAATAGTGATATTTGGTCACCTGATATCATTTGGTCACCCTGAAAGAAAGTTTGGAAAGGAACGGCAGGTCAAAGGCTTTATGACTCGGCTCTCTTCACCAAATCTCAGGAGATCTCCGTGAGTCTTCACGGAGCTGCTCTGTGCTCCGTCTGTGGGATGTGACCCTCTATGGACATCCATGTGGGTCGGCCCTGGGGCATCGCATAGCATCTCTTCTGCTTTGCCCCCCGGAAGCCTGTGCTTTGAATTATAGTGTATGCCAAACGAATTGCACTTCATATTGATTTATTTCCCCGTTTTAATGAACAAAAGACATATATAACTGCAGAGCAAAACTTCTGATCAGAAAACTAACACTATCAAGATCAACCGATACAATTCAGACCAAAAAAAATAAAAAGATGTTCTCTTAGACTTGTGGCCGATGAGACGTAGTTTTTGGCTCGGCTGTTAAGGTGTTGAAACTCTCACGTAACCCATATTGCTTTCCTCCCTTCTCCCCATCACAGAAGGCCATCTTGGGGCTCCTACATTGGCTCTGCGCTGAGTGAAGGTGCTCAGCAAGGTCTCAATAATCAGACTAGTGGCTGCCGCTGGGGATATTCTAGCTGTGAGGCCTCAGGAAGGGAAGGCTCCGAGGTCCAGCCGTCGGCGGCTCTGGGGACCAGGCAGCCCTGGGCGTCAGTGTGTCATGGGATTCAGTGGGTTCGCTTTTTCAAACAGCACGGATAGACATTGGGGCATACTCCGATTTGGAATTCCTCTGCTTTACAATTCCTCCGGCAGCGGGCAGTCCCATAACCACATATCTTGTCTGTGTCAAATTCACTTCTCGCTGAATAACAGAATAAGTCAGTGTGATTAATTGTGTCCCAAGGACGGGGAGGTGAGACTTTAGCAGTGGTTTTTGGGGAGAGTGACTGACCCAACACACTGGGCGAAACAGGCCCTCTGCGGTGGTTTTCCCAACCACCCCCTCCCTCTGCGTTCCTAGCTCATAGACTCCACCATCCAATTCTCTTCCAGCATGACTAAAACAAAACAAAACAAAAATTAAAAAAAAAAAAAATTAGTTGGCGCTCATCACACCTCCTCTCAAAATCCCTACAACAGTTTGCTAATACTTTCTGGTTGAATCCAAGTCAACCCCTTACCATGCGCTTCAAAGCTGCGGTGCTGAGCCTGGGCCCCCTTCTACCTGGTGTGGGACCCTGGGCCTCAGCTTCCCCAGGGGGGCAGCTGATGCTCTTGGCCTGATGCTCTTGGCTCTCGATGCTTTCACTTGCCCTACTTCCTCGCCTAGAACACTTCTCTCCTCTGCCCATGAATGACCTCCCTGACCTCAGTGTCACGACGCTAGGGAATGTCTCCCTGGAAGTGCCTGGAACTGCTGTCCACCCTATGCAAATTTTTGTTGTTGTTGTTGTTCTTTCATCACATCTTTCCCAAGTTGTAGTTACATGTTTCTAGTAACTTCCCGATTGAATTCTAAGTTCCTCAAGTGGGAGACAGTGTTATGTTCCACTCACCATTATACACTCGCCCAGGACCCGATGCCCACATGTGCTTAATAACCAACCACCTGTGGAGTGCATGGTGGGATAGGGTGGATGAGAATGAAGCAGAAGCGATGTGAGCAGGGGAGAGCAGAACAGAACGGAGGAGAGGAGATACACCCCTGCTCACTTGGCCCCTGGCCTAGAGCGGTAAGTGAGGGATGTGAGTTTAGCTACTCAGAGTCCAGGGAGGGATCTCTGCAGCTCACAGTAGCCGTATAAAGCTACAGCCCTTAGGCACGCAGCTGGTAACATCTCACAGCAATGCTGGAAGCACGGTCCAGGTGAAGGGAGAGGCTGACGGTGGA